AAAAGTGTTGCGTTTATAATTTTGTTCAGTGTATATATATATATATATATATTAGTGCTGTTAAATCCAAAATAAAAGTTTTTGTTTACATAATATGTGTGTACTGTGTATATTTATTATGTATATATATAAATACACACACATACAGTATATATATTGAAAATATTTACATGTATTTACATGTATATATTTATAAAAAGTGTATCGTAGTTCCCCCAAATTTTCACAACAGTAATAAAAAAAATTGTTTCTTGAGCAACAAATATAGATATCACATAGATATCCAGTTCCATATAACTATGATTTGGTCAACAAAGAAAAAACATCGAATGTATATGAAACAGACTCTAATGATTTTAAGTTTCAAAATTCTTAGACAACTATAGTCATGCTGCTACAAACTCTCAACCCAACTCTCAGCTCAACTTTTGAGTGCAGGCGAGTGACAAAGCGACCCGTTGGGTTTCTAAAACAGGTGGCATGGCTCGCTAGGATTTGCTCATCGAGAAGGCATTTATCACCTGCTTTTAGTAACGCATGGTTTGGCAATGAACTATATGCGTTTCCACGGAAACTTACCTTTGCCATGCCAACCAACTCCAACGCTCAGAACTGTGATCTCTCACAGAGATTTGGCCACTTTTACAGCTATCAGCGAGTTCATTAGATAAAACCCATACAGATAACAAAAGTGGCCGGTTTTAAACTAACAGTAACCATAATACAATGGCCATCACAATCCTTTGAATGGGTTTTTTATGGAGCTGTTCAGTCGTGACATCAATTTGAAGACCATCCGGAAGGCCACGGCTTCCCTTGGAAATTTCCATGTCTGTGGTGAACATTACTTAAAGAGACTTTCACATTTGTTATGTAACATAAATTACATATTTGCATGTTTACATAAACAACAGTTTTCTGATTTGTCTTAATCTAAAATATGAGAGAGAGTTGATTTGTTGGTCATTTTTGTTCACTGCAGAATTCTCCTAATCCCATTTGTGTTATTTCATAGTTTGGTAACACTTTAATATAGGGACCAATTCTCACTATTAACTGCTCATTATTAGCATGCCTATTATTAACATATCGGCTGTTTATTAGTACTTATAAAACACATATTCTGCATGACCATATTCTACATCCCTAATCTTACCCAATACCTACACTTAACAACTACCCTAACTATTAATAAGCAGAAAATTAGGAATTTGTTATGACAAAAATCATAGTTAATGGTTTGTTAATAGCGAGAATAGGACCTTTAAATATAAATTATATAAATATAAAAATTGTGTATAAAAATAAAAAAAGATATAAATTGTGACCCATATTTTTAACGACTTTATATTGTTTTAAATTATGTGGAAATAGTAGAATAATTTATTAGTTTATTCTGTAGTTCAATTTAACTCTTTCCCCACCATTGACGGAATATGGTTATACAGTAGGGGGAGCTATTAGACATCTTCTGAAAGAGTACTGAATCTCCGGATCAAAACAGAGATGAAGAAGAAGCAGAGACAAGCTATTGCCTATGTAAGCAAATGCATGCATAAAATAACGTGATTAAATGTTAAACAGCATATAAAACTTCCCAGCGTTACCAAATGAAATGTTGACCCAGTAAGTGGTGTAGGATTGTGTAAGCTTTGGAGGTGTTTCTGGAAGCGATCTACTCCATCTAGGCTTTGATGTTTGTTCTGAATCCCTTTTGGACTTAGTCTGAAAAATGCTAATTTATTTTTTTTAAAGGGGTCATATGATGCGATTTCAAGTTTTCCTTTCTCTTTGGAGTGTTACAAGCTGATTGTGCATAGATAAGATCCCTGAAGTTGCAAAGACTAAAGTCTCAAAACCAGAGAGATATTCTTTATCAAAGTTAAGACTCTGCCACGCCCCCCTAAAACGGCTCATTCTAACACGCCCCCACATATCTACATCACCATGTGGAAATATTTGCATAATGCGCCCAAATGATCACGCAAAGACCCAAAAATTCAAATTCTGTCATTAACTCACCCTCATACTGTTTCAAACCCGTAAGACCTCCGTTCATCTTCAGAACTCAAATTAAGATATTTTTGATGAAATCTGAGATCTTTCTGACCCTAAATAGACAGCAATGCAACTGCCCAGGCCCGGAAAGGTCCATGTGACATCAAAGACTGTCCTGGAAAAGAAATCGTTGAATAAAGTTATTTTTGATTTCTTTGCACACAAAAAGTATTCTCGTAGCTTCATAAGATTAAGGTTGAACCACTGATGTCACGTGGACTATTTTAACGATGTCCTTACTACCTTTCTGGGCCTTGAACATGGTAGTTGCGTTGCTGTCTATGGAGGGTCAGAAAGCTCTTGGATTTCATCAAAAATATCTTAATTTGTGTTCCGAAGATGAACGAAGGTCTTACGGGTTTGCAACAACAGGAGGGTGAAAAATTAATTACATCATTTCATTTTTGGGTGAACTATCCCTTTAAGCTAGAATAAAAAAATATATATTTTTTTTGTATTTTCTGTTGACATTGGTTGTTCAGATATTAATACAGCAAAATATTATGGGAGCCATGAAAATTTTATGAAAATGATCAAAAATGTTGGCGTTGACTGGCAACTTTTTAAAAAATGCTGGCGGGGAAAGAGTTAAACTTGACTGAAGACATTCAGAAACTTGCTGTTTATCCTAAAATGTAATGGAAACATTACAGGAACGCCTTCTCATGAGCCTGCTGCCCAGAAATGTTGCCATGGAGATGAAGGAGGACTTCCTGAAGCCACCAGAAAGAATTTTCCATAAGATATACATCCAACGACATGACAACGTCAGGTACAGAAAGAACAAGAGAGAGTGTGTTTCAACAATCAAGCCATTCATGTTGAAAACCCACATTTATTCCATGAATGAAAGATGAGAGCACTACACATAGTTTTTTTTCCAGACTAGACAGACATTGTCAATTCCATTGTACTTAAATTGTGATTGCAAATACTGAATCAGTGAGTCAATAAGAGTCAACAACTCTCCACTCACGCGCAGTCGTCTAAGTTCCTGAGTCTGGCTGCCAACCAAAGCTCGCACAGCGTGTATGGCGCCCACAGTGCTAGTGCTATCAACTCAAGAGCTGCTCAATTAACCCACACTGCCCACACACGTGGAGAGACGGAGAGCGAGAGATGGAACAAGGCAGTGCTGGGGGCAAATTCACACAATAGCACATACACACATATACACACATATGCCATCTCAAAGACCCGTTCCAACCAAGAGATTGGTGAGTGAAAGATGATGCATGCAAGTAACTTTTCCATCATTAACTGACTGTCTAAAAGATGAGGTTAATGCAGGCCCAGCTCCAGATCAAAGATGAAGAGTGGGCTTTATCTGTAAGCGCTATAAAAGCTATATGTTTGTACTGTCATTCATATCTTGCTGCCATGTTTGCTTAGTTTCGAGATAAAGGTTTTATTAAGTTCATAACCTGAGTCAGAAATGCCATTTAACTAAAGACTCTGGAGCCATTAGTATATTACTGTAGTTTTGAATTTAGATTTTTGTTTTCTTTCATGTTTATTTTGAGTCCTTTCAAATTAGCTGATATTAGTGATTGTTTGTTTTAGTTTTTTTTTATAGTTTAGTTTATATTTAGATGTTATTTAAATCACAGCATTGCATTTTCATGTTAATGAAGTCTGTTATAAAATTTGAAATCTTTATATTCAGTAATACATAATCTAAGAGTAAAACAAAAAATTATTTGTGATCATTTAAATTTTATTTAAATTGAAGTCAGCATAAAATGAAAATGCACTATCCCCTGGTTTCACAGACAAGGCTTAAGCTAGTCCCAGACTAAAATGCATGTTTGAGTTGTCTCAACTGAAAATATCTTGCTCTGACATATCTTAAAATATGTCAGTGTCATTGTTCTGTGTCAAGATGCACACCTGTAATGTTTTCTTCTAAGGCATTTTTGTAAAAGTCGCTTAACTATCTTAATTTAACTAAGGCCTTGTGAAACCGGGCCTACATTTTCTAAATTCATGTAATCAGCCTGTCTTTTTTTTTTTTTTTTGACCTTTTTTCTGTCTTTTTTTTAGTTGTAATTTTTAATCAATATGTCATAATTTAATCGTCTGGTGAAACAATACTTATCTCTGGTGGCGTACACTGAAAAAAAATAGTCTAGACATTATTTTCAATAAACTGCATAAATAACTACAAAGAAATGACAAATAACACGCTGAAGTAAACAACATTTTAAAAGACTGAAATAGTATTTTCTTCTAAAGACTCCTCCAATAATCTTTGTTTTATTTTATGACTTAGAATTTTTTTTTACAGTATATACCAACTTCTCTAATGATTTGTCCACTTCAACTCCACACTTTTCGGTAACGCTTTAGATTACAACCCGCAAAGAACTACGTAAGTATACTGTATTTACGATGTACGTTTCTGTAATTATAGTGTACCTATAAAGGTGTAAGGGAACAATGTGTTACGTTTGGGTAATAAGGGGGTAACAACCAGATATGCAACCTGTAAAGAACTGCGTAAGTAAACTGAAGTTACAGTGTAACTTTTTTGTAATTATAGTGTACCTATTCAGTACCTCCGCATAGGTATAAGGGAATAATATGCGAAGTTTGGGGAATAAAGGGGTAACAACCAGTAAAATTACAAATCATTTATACTGTAAGTATTTTGAAACTAA